ATCACTACCTGATCTGTTAGATATTCCGATTTCCGAGCACCGCTCGAAACTAATCACTGAATCGGCTTTAACATTCAGATTCCATTTGGGACGCCAATACTATCGGTGACGTCGGTCCCACAAATTGCTGGACCATTGATCCCATATCATTTCTACACGATCAACACATCACCGGTGATCATGCATCAACGATTACCTTTCCTCTCCTAGACCACCATTGTGATGATGTCTTTCCCCGGTTCCTCTGCTGATTCGGTGCCAAGAACATCGATGATTCTCCTGTTCTGTTCAATTACGGAGTCTTCTACTGAACTGAGCTTTACTCTACTACTCTTCTGGTTTACAGTTCGGTTGAGAGCTCAAAATCTCAGTGCTCACAATCATACAGCGCTACAGGCGTGACAACAAACCACGTGTCTTGCTTTAATGATGCCCTTATGACTTGTTCCTCATACTCTTTATGTTCCTCATGTTTACAATTACAGTTCTTTTTTTTGCGGGTATGTAGTAATTGTTATTGAGAAGCCTCGCATGTCAATTATATATAATATAAATATATGTACATTGATCTCTTATGTATGCCCTATGTACAAGTGCCGAGATTACCAGTGAAAAATGCTAAAATGAATTTCAATCAATCGACAATTTTATAGTTATAGAATAAATTTTCTCAGTTCCCCTTTATGTGTGCTTCTGCTAGTGAATCTGCTTTTCATCAGATTTTCCCTACTCACTTTTCCCGTACAAATACTGCCGGGCCTCTTTATAGTGATTGAAAGCAGTGTGGAACATCAAAAACGCATAACTCGGACGTCAAAGCGATTTTATCGCCACTCAAATGTTGCGGATGCGCTGTGAGTTACAGCCTATGCGATGAAAGTTTGGTCCCACCCACCAAAATAGACAAATCTGTAAGTACATAGTATAGAGGTAGAGCGAAAAAGGAAGACCCTCTTTGAAGTAAAGGATCGCCAATTCCAACATATCGATAGAACTGGTAAGGGTTTTCACAACTTTTAAACCCTGTATGTGCCCCA